CCAGCGCGATGAAGGTCAGCAGCCCCGAGGGGAAGCCATCCCTGAATCGGGCCGGGCGCGAATAGGCAGCAGCCTCATTTCGCTGGGGGCAAAGCGAAACCCCCCCCCGACCAAGGGTTAGTGGGGGGCACCTGCATGGGGCTGGGGGAGGGCAGAGACCCCTTTCTGCACCACATTTGGGGTTGCTGGGGGGCTAAACCAGAGCACAGGCACTCGGTGCTGCGCAGATCCGTCCCAGCACCCTCAGCTGGGGCAGAGCTGGTGTCACTGGGGTGCTGGGTGTCGCGGGGACAGGGGTCAGTGCACCCATGTGCCTGTCACGTGGGACGTTGGTCACACTCACGTCCCTGGGGCTGCAGGAAGAGTCAGAACCTGGCCAAGCGCAGGCAGCAGTGACGTGCTGCTGCTCCCCTGCTCCCAGCACCCAGGGCTGCTCCCCTGCTCCAGGGCAGGCAGTAGCCCCACGGAGCTTGGGTTCAACGCCCAGCTGGAGGTCAGCAAGAGCCAGATTCAGCCCAAGGGGTTAATGATGAGGGATGGGCCACTGCAGCGCTGGATCCACAGCAGCAATCGCTGCTCCCAAGGGACCTCCCCATAATCCCCAAACGGGGCTTGCGTCTCCCCTGCGGCCACTGGCAGGACACAAGGGGATGTGCCGGGACTGCCAGAGGCTGGTCCCATCCCAGCTGCGCTGGCTGCGGGACAAGTCCTCCCTCCCCATCTCTGTCCCCTTCCACCTCGCAGCCCCTGCCACCAGGGCTCCTTCGCCGCAGCTAGGAGGGCCGGCCAAAGCCCTGCTGGGACAGGAAGGTGCTGAGCTCTCGCTGGATGAGCTCCTCCCCGAGGCTGACTCCCCCCACAGCCTTATCCCAGGGCTGCTGGTGACCGGGATGGTGCCCCCTGCTTCCCCCCCAGCCAGGTCCTGGGGCAGCCCAGGGATGCTGGGGCATCACCGCCACCAAACACCCTGTGCCCAATGAGGTGCCAGAGCCCAGCATTACCTCACTGCCACAGCCTCCCATTGGCTACGAGCCCGATGAGGTTACCGAGGGAACACTGCGTCATCATCACCTACGGCATCCCCACCATCATCGCTCGGGGATGCCCATGCCCCAGGTGTCCCCACTGCCGCCTGCCCCGCCA